GAATTTAAAGGATTTAGCAGGATTCTAGCGATTTTTGTTTATTAATCTGGCGGCACGGACAGAAATGGCAACACTGGTGGTGAGTACCGACTTGCTTGCGCGCATATTAGCTGTTTTGTAATCCACTTTTGCATTGTCAGCGTTCAGTAAGGATGGGCGATGATGAGAAATCATCGATTTTTTCATCGGTGATGACATCGGAGGGTCAACATCGATCCTCGATTTTCATCGACCAACAATCATCGATTTTACACAATATCGATATCATTCTAAAATACGGAATTGTTCCCGTGCTCATCAGAAGTAAGCATTCTATTGGAAGCGTTAGCGCAATTTTTAACATTATTTGTTTTCGAAATTGTGAGATTTGTTAGGCTTTGTTTTCATTCATTTTTTCCTCGAAATTATGTATAAGAGTTTCAGATTTGTTTAAAAATTTGTATCAAAAAACTTAAACTCAAATCAAATATTTTACTACCTTCGCCTTTTTTATGAATTATAGTTTTACATACGTACAACCACGTTCAGGTATATCGTCACCTGAAATGCAAAAGTCGTAACTACATATGTATGCAAGAATGATAGAATACAAGATTGCGCCGTCCTGGCCGTTGACATTTGTGTACCACAAGTAAACAAAGAATAGAGCGAAAAGAAGAACGAATTGAAACTGCCAAAACAGTTCACTTTACAGCGAAAAACGTGTTTTAATTTTGCTAAATGCGAAAATATTGCAATTTCACATAATCTATTAGAGAATAGTGAACGTTTTAGTGCACTCGATTGCTTTGCAATCGAAACTGCTGCAGCAAACGTTTTAGTGCACTCCATTGCTTTGCAATTAAGACTGATTAATTGATTAGTTAACTTGCTAAAGGAGGATGCTTGGAGCAGAAGCGAAGTCATTGTGATGCAATGCTGTCAATATAATAATAAAGATACATTTCGAGAACGGCTTACCGTGCCCTATGTACACAATTCGTCACGCGATTCCTAACAGCGCTACACTTGCATCTACGCATCTCGCATCTTGACGGCTGTCGAAATTTAACACACGGCACTTCATTTTATTAGTTTTTACGCAGTCTTCAACTCAATAATCAGCTGAAATTGCAAATTAACACCATTTAAACTGATTTTTCACTTATAATTAAAATTCTATTTGTCGCTGATTTGTAAACAAAGGTTTATTTACAAGTTACCACAACTGTCAAAATCGGCAAAACCAAAGTAGCGGTACCACTGACGGCGCCACCTTTGTTCGCTGCACCGTGATATGTATGTATGTATGCACTGGCGTAGCCAGGATTTGGCTTTGGGGGGGAAGAAAAAAAAATTTCCATCGATAACTTAAATTTGTGACACAATGGCTAGAGGCGTCGCCTGAGTCCATTCTTTCATATATTTATGTATTGCCAGTTTTACCGTTATATATTTTTTTCTACTCGTTTATTCCATGGGGTCTTCATGCTTTATTTAAATTTAAAAAATTAAATTACTATACCGTTTTAAAAATCTGAAAATTCACTGCGAGAAATTTTTTTATTCTCTTTTTGTCTTCGCCTTCTCGTTTTTGCCTTTATAAGTTTTGAAAAAAGGTTTTGAACGAACCATTATATCACATTCCTAGGCAGGTTTTGAAAGAATATTTTCGATACTAAATTTTATTAAAACAAAATGTTGAAATCAGCTTCATATAGAAACAGTGTCATCGTTAATTAAGAAAGAGATGTTCTTAAATATCATAACATTACGACACTCACATATTGACTAGATTTGACTATTTATTTTATTATATTTTAATTTGAATTATTTGTTTATAAAATATAGTTTATTCCTTAACAAACACTTAATGAAAATAAGTTTAATCTTTGAACAACATAAAAAAAAATCGGCAAACTTTCGTAAAAATTTCGAACTTTCTATTTCAATTTAATCTCTTAATATTTTGCAGTTTTTTAGCTCATTCAATTTTAGTCTAATAAAGTGCTAATTTAAAGTAGCTGTGATTTACAGTTGATGTATGGCATATTTTTGACGATGTCGGTAATTTTCTTCCATATTATCTAAGTATGTTCGACGATTTTTTAATGAAGAAAATGAGCAACGCCTTCATAAAAAAAAAAATACTAAAAATCAACGATAAGTCGCAGCTATGTATTTTAAACTTGCGCTTTATTTGAATTGATCGGGCTACAAAACTGGATACTCAAAATATGTATTTCTAGGAAATCTAATTAAAAAGCTTTACGAAATTCGTTGATTTTTTTAATGTTGCGCAAGGATTAAACTTTGGATTTATACGGGTTTTGTTAAAGTGTAAACTGCATTTTTATAAACAAATAATTAAAATTATATAATTTAAGGATAAATGGCCAATCTAGTTAACATGTATAAAGTTTTGATAAGCACTTGAAATGCCAAGTTTTATTACTGAATTCAAAGAAGATGTCTCTTTTATCCATTCATAATAACTTAAAAATTTTTTTTTTTTAAGAAGTGGATCTTAAAATATCTGCCTTGACATTTATGTTAAAAGTGTAAAATATGTAAATGTACCTACATAGACTTTCCCGTGAATACCATCAAATCATTGGTCTTGAAGGGAATCTGTGTATGCATGCATGCATATGAGCAAATTAAAATACCGATACAATTTACAGTCGAAAGGTACAGTTTTTGTATAGATTATAGATTATTTCCCAACACTGTGGGAAACTAAGCAAAATGGCCTAGTGTATTTCGCAAATATTCCAATACATAATCTACCAACCGATAATTTTATATATTCATTAAAAGATAATTTGTCATCAGTCTGAAATAAGAAAATGATAAATCGGAAGGGTAAAATAGTATTGTGTTGTTAATTCAAAAATAAAAAGTTTCATTTCACAGACGAAGGGGGGGTTCTATCCCCTAAATCCTCCCCTGGCTACGCCACTGTATGTATGTATGAACAGTGAAGCGAAAGTGCGCAACAGGGGCGTGCCTTCTCTTTTTATCCAATCAAAAAACGCACTAGGGCAAAAGAGAAGGCACGCCCCTGTTGCGCACTTTCGCTACAATTATAACGAGTTGTCCCTTCTTGTTATATACATTCTTTGTCGGCACTTCGATTATGTGTGCAAGGTATCGATGTGCCGATGTTCTACATAGTCCGCAATCGATTATAAAATATCGATATTTTACGTCTTATCATCGATAAAATCGCATATCGATGAATATTGGACATCCTAGCGTTCAGTTGGTCGCAAATTTTCAAAGGGAGGGGTTGTTCTTGCGCAGATAATTTTTCGTTAGAAATTTGCTTGGAAAAAAGGACAATCATGCGCAAAACAACCTTTTTATATGACGGTTTTCTACCGACTGAGCCTAGTAGTAGCGCTCGGCTCTCTTATTTACGAACACATGCGCAAGCAAGATCGTTAACACGTTATTGTTCGCCAGTATGAATTAGCACATACTATTTTTTACATATGTATAATCAATTTAAACTTTATTGATTTATTAATAAAAAAAATTAAATTGGTCGGCATTTCATGATGTTGAATTATTTTTAATAAATAGACTACAAATATAGTTAGAAATTGTTCCTCTATAAACAAAGAGGTGAATATAATAGCAATATACATTGCATAAAATGGGTTAATACACGTACCGGCTATTGCTTACCCTTTCGGTTTTAAATTTTTACCCCGCATCAAGCACCTGCTTGCCCGCGCTGCTGCGCGCGAGCTGTTCTGCCCCCCATCCCTAAAATATAAGATTGCGCCCATGAGAGAGGATTTTTGAGCGTAATTTTTGCGTGACGTCATCTTGGTGCAATCGCGAGAGAAAAATTCCAAAACGCATAGAAAAATATGTAAACAATGCGGAATTATGTGGGAACAAGTGCAGTATAGCGGCCGTTGAGGAAAGATACAAATTAGAAGTGGGCGTGGTCCGCCCCTTTTTACTTATTTTAATGGTGTAAACTAGAGATAGGCACGGGCCTAAATTTTCAGGCCCGGCCCGGCACGAGGCAAAATCAACTTTCAAAAACACGCACGAGCCCGCACGTTAAGAATTTTAGTGGGGCCCGGCCCGGCCCGGCACGACGGGACACGTCCCAGCTCGGAAATAAAGAGCCAACTTTTATTGTATGTATACATATGTACATATTTTTAGTTTTGTGTTTATGTATGTATATTTACTTAAGCGAACCAATTTTTTACATCAAAGATTTTTATAATATTTTTTCTGGGAAGTTGAAAAAGTGGAAAGTATTTTATGTACAGATATGTAAACAAAACTACTAAGGCCCACTTGCAGAACACCAGGTTATCTATTTAACTCGAAGTTTACCGGTTAAATTAATAAATGGGCTTGCACAATCAATTGCACAATTATGCCCACTTGCTGAACAGCAGGTTATCTATATAACTCGAAGTTTACCGGTTAAATTGATAAATTGGCTTGCACAATCAATGGTTGGGTGTAAAATTAAAGTTAACTCGTTAAATATTTAGCTCAGCAATTTTCGAAGGTTAACTTGCTAACTCTACATATGTCAATTTTGTCAGTAACAAGAATAATAAAATTGAGATTTCAAAAATTTAAAAAATATTTTTGAACACATGTTTACATACACACATACACACATATGCACGTATTCATTTTTCCGCCTTCAAATAGAGGTTTCGGTCATTTTCGCGTAAAAAAATATGTATATGCGATTTAAATGCACCGAAAGTGTGCAGTGAAGATGTGTCGCTGGCCAATTTGCAGAGAAATGAGCTGAAGATCTTCATGACCGCAGTGTTTCAACTACTATGGCGTGGATTTGGTACATAAATGAGTACATATCCAGGTTAAGAAATGGAAGTCCCAGGCATGTATATTGATCTAACCATAGCGAGATATAATTTTATGGTAGTAGTGCACTTTGGCGAAGGTAGGTCAAAATGGACGGAAAAAGTTCGAGCGTGGTATCAATCGACGCGTCTTAACGCCATTAATAACAATCCGAGGCCGGAAATTAACATTTTTAATTAATTAAAGAGTTATTTGCAAAAAACACTTGCACTTTCCGCACTATGCTTTGATGAATTTCACGCAAATGAATGGAATAAATGAACTTAAACACTAGTTTCCCTCCATGTTATTTATATTAACTACGCAAAATTGTTGTGCGGATTTTCACCATCGGAATATTGCTATTAAATACAGAATTTCCCGAAAGTGTACACTCAAAACATCACAAATGTATAAAAACTAATAAATACGTGTTAAATTAAGTTCATTTATTCGATTCATTTGGGTGAAATTCATCAAAACATAGTGCGGAAAGTGCAAGTGTTTTTTTGCAAATAAATCTCTAATTAATTTAAAACGTTAATTTCCGGTCTCGGATTGTTATTATTGGCGTTAAGACGCGTCGATTGATACCACTCTCGAACTTTTTGCGTCCATTTTGACCTACCTTCGCTAAAGTGCACTTTTACCAATTTTATTTAATATTTGCCATTCTTTAGTTTTTGTGGTTGTAATATAAATTGTATATTTAATTTCAAATAATAAATATAAACAATCAAAACGAGAGTGGTGCCTGTTTAATTTAGAAATCCCTCGGGTAATTTAACTCTGAGTCAGTTTTCAATTATANTTTTTTACATCAAAGATTTTTATAATATATTTTCTGGGAAGTTGAAAAAGTGGAAAGTATTTTATGTACAGATATGTAAACAAAACTAAAGTAAAACTAGAGTTAAATCGTTAAATATTTAGCCCAGCAATTTTCGAATGTTAACTTGCTAACTCTACATATGTCAATTCTGTCAGTAACAAGAATAAAAAAAATTGAGATTTCAAAAATATTTAGTGTAAAAAAATATTTTTGAACACATATGTACATATGTACATTAGAGCTGGACCGATTTGAAAATACCTCTAAAAATGGAATTTTTTATGAAAGCCCCTCAGATGAAAAACAGATTAGGCATAAAAAATCTGCATAAAAATATTTAAAAATCTTTTCAAATAACTGTGCCAAAACTATTCTGATTTAGACTTATGGGATCTCGGTAGAAAGGTATTTTCGCACTATTTTTATTTATGTGCAAAAAAAAAGTCATTTGTGTCCAAATTTTTTTTATTTTTTTCAAATACCAATACATCTTAATTGAACTTTGAATGATGTTCGTTCATCCTACCTTTCTCTTTCATCCTTTGAATGAGCTCATGTAAATTTTTTAAGCTTAAACCGTTTTGTCATTTGAGGTGATTTAAAAAAAAAAAAAACATCTTTAATAAACTATTTTTATTCATAAAAAACTCTATTTTTGGGGGTATTTTCTAATCGGTCCAGCTTGCTTAAATCTTAATATTGTTCCGAAATATTTTGGTGGACGTCTCAAAATATAATAGATTTTATAATTCCAATGGAAAAACAGTACCGATTTTTTTTTGTATGGAGAGTCATGCAGTCTAATGTGCATACAAATAAATACACGACGTTATTTTCGTTTATTTAAAAATTTGTCGTTTATTTCTATAATTAAAAATATGTCAGTTAGTTATACGGCACTATGTGCCTTTTGTTAAAACTAAATTAAAGATTGAGTCAATTAGGCGGCACTATGTGCCTGTGGGTTAAACTAAATTAAAGATTAAGTTGACTAGGCGGCACTATGTGCCTGTTGGTTTGAAGTTAAAACTAAGACTGAAATATTCTTAAAGCTAAAACTATAAGCTACCCTTCCTGAGCCTGCCTACGTGACCAAAGATGCTTGGTCAGCAAAATAGGGTTTGCGCGTGTAGCGCTCAGCAGAAGTATTTGGTCAGGTGAGTGAATAAGCGGTTGCGCGTGTTTCGCTCACTAAAGGTGTTTAGTTTCATTAACTAAGAATTTAGCGGATGCGCGTGCAGCGCAATTGCACTTTTGGTTGCAACAAGACTCCAAAATATGCGATCGGTTTCTATGTTTGCAGAATATTCTGTGGGAATGGAATTTATGTAATGTTGTTTTGGCTATGTGGAGAAGTTCATAAAATATTGTGTAACTCCTCCCTCCGAAATTTCGATCGTCCCCGATTTATTTTTAAAAAAATGGGATGTCGTTTAGACTCCTATGCTGCGGCATTTTGACTACCGGCATTTGAAATGATTCTGCTTTACTAATAATTATTTCAGAATTTCTGCGCTTTTTGCATCTGAAGATTGAAAATATGGTAAGTACTAAGGCTAATAGCCCAAAATGAGTGAATAAGCTGGATTTCACTAAAAGGTTCAGAGAACTTATTTTTTTAATATTCTTTATATTCAGCTCTTTCATGAGTTTTAAGGATAGTACTTCCTCGAATTCTGAACGTGAATTTGAATGTTGGATTAAGGCAGGCAATGGTCTCAGGCTATGTTGTTCTAAAGTTGTAAAATTCATGTTATTAATTTTTATGGTTTCATTAAAGATTCTTTTAAATATGATCCTTTTTAATTCCTAGTATTNTTAAATATGATCCTTTTAAATTCCTAGTACTATTATTTGTAGTAATATTTCCTTCGAAATTATTTAAAAGTATTAATCCATTATTTATTTCAACAATATCTTTAACATGTTCCGTGTTTGTTACGGTGCACTTATATGGTTTATTCTTTATTAAATTTCTTATACAATTTTCGTTTTCCAAATTAACAATTTTGTTTGCAAATTTTTATTTCATTTATTATTTTACAATCGTTTTCTATATCATAATATTCTTAATTACATTTCAATATTTTTTCAAAATTTATCATTAAAATAGTTTCGTTTTTACTTAAAGGCTTAATTATAATAGATTTGCAAATTTCTTTACCGGTTTTCGGTACTTTTATCATATAAATTAGTAAGTTCTGTTTTACAGCAATTTGAACGTCTGCAAAATTCAAAGATTCTTCTAACGAGCCAAATGGTAAATTTTCTTCTATAAAAAGTATATTTATTCTATGAGCTTCTTGAGTGGCAATAATAACTGAGTTAATAATGTTCGCTTTAGTTAAATGAATTGCTCTTTTAATATTTTCTAACTCATCTTTGATTATGTCAATTTTAAATTTAATCTGAAGTATTAGGGCGATTTGAAATTCGTTACTATTTCCTAGAGACTTTATTATTGAGTTGCTAATTTGTGTGATATTGTTAATTCTTTCGATAATATTTTTGTTAATTACTAGTTGTTGGTTATTATTTTCAATTACTTCTTGAAATTTACTGTTGATGGCTACCAAGTCATCATGGTCAGGATTGCCAGCTATCCATTTCCAGGCTGATCCTATGAAGTCTAGGGATCTTTTATTTTTGTATTTAGGTAAGATGTTATTAATGGTTGCGTTGATGTTATTTATCTCGTCTGTTATAAATGGGTAAAGGGGCTGTTAGCTGGTATGTTTCTAATGAAGTTTCTGTTTAGTATTGTAGAGTATTCCGTTATGTTTGTCATGTGGATAATCCGGTAGGTCCCTGTTTGAATTTTGCCAATTCCGTCCTCCATAATAACGATTTCAGATTAAGTGTAGTCTAACACTTCAACTGAACCATCGCTTAAAATAAAGTTCAGGAAAAAGAGAAATCTAAAAATAAAAATATACTGAATTAGTTTCGTATGCGGTCCTTGTGAACTATTTTCCCTGATTCTGTTGTTATTGTGGAGTTCATATTTTCTTTCACAATTTCTTCTTTGTATGNCCCTGTTTGAATTTTGCCAATTCCGTCCTCCATAATAACGATTTCTGATTAAGTGTAGTCTAACACTTCAACTGAACCATCGCTTAAAATAAAGTTCAGGAAAAAGAGAAATCTAAAAATAAAAATATACTGAATTAGTTTCGTATGCGGTCCTTGTGAACTATTTTCCCTGATTCTGTTGTTATTGTGGAGTTCATATTTTCTTTCACAATTTCTTCTTTGTATGGTTTGGAAAGTTTGGTACCTAGTCTTTTATTTTGTCTAACGAAAACTTTCTGTCCTGGCCTGTAGTCTATTGTGTCCTTCTTGTTTTTATTATGGTATTGTAGGTCTTGTTCTTGTGTTTTCCTAAGTTTTTCAAAAATGTTTGCCCTGGTTTCTTCTCGATTTTCGCAATTGGATGGACAGGGTCTGCCGAAAAATACGTCAACTGGTTTTTTTCCTGTAACAGAATGGATGGTATGATTGTATTCGTTTACCGACCATTGCAATAGTTCTTCAAAGTTTTTGTCTGGGTATTCTTGTCTAAGGCATCTCATAATTTCGGATAAAGTTGAGTGAAATCTTTCCACTTGACCGTTGACTTCACTCTTGTAAGGTGGTGCAGTAAAAATTTGTATGTAGAATTCGTTTTCCAACATGAATTTAATTGGTTGTGAGTTAAATGTCTTTTCATTATCAAAAACGATGAATTTGGGTACTCCATAGTAAAATATGATGTCTCTTAATGGTTTTTTTTTTATATTTTCTATACTCTTTCCATCTATCATCTTTGCTACGGCTAATTTTGAGAATTTATCAATAGAAGTGAGTACTTTGTGATTGTCTGTAGAAAAAATTATATGAATTGTATGTCCTGCGTATTCGGGTAAGGGTGTAGCGCCGTTTTGGATTGTTTGGATGCCTATGATATTTGTTTTCTTTACATATTTTGCATAGTTTTATTATTTTCCTTATTTCTTCGCCATAGCTGGGAAATAATATTTTTCTAATATCTGTAGTTTATTTTCTCTTTCATTTATATGGGCACGGTTATGTTCTTCTATAATAATTCTGTCTTAATCATCTGTATTTGTAATATCTTCGACCACTAATTGTGTGAAGCATATTTTGTAATTAGCGAAATGTAAAGGGTAAATAGCTTGAATTTTTAGCATGATCGGCTCTGTTGTTTTAATGCCATTTATTATTGAAGGATTTAGTTGTTTTTTTAAGAGTAGCTTTAGTGAATCCTCGGAAAGGATTTTTTCTGTTATTAGATGTCTATGGTACATTGGAAAAATTATTTGGAATTTATACGAAGATTCCGGACCTTCTGAGATAAAAAAGTTGGTTTTTAAAGACGTTTACTGGGTTTTCTACGGAGGATATCAAATTTTCCGGTGAACTATCACTACTGTGAACTGTAAGTGAGTTAACGCTCGAAATTGGCGGTCGTGAAAGGAAACCTGCAACTACATTTGAACTGCCGGGTTTGCCATCTCTTCATTTTGGTGTTTGTATTCGTATTGAAAGTTAAGGGTTGGTGATCGGAGTATATTTTGACCTTTTTTGATCCGTAAAAGAAGTATCTGAGGGACTGTAAAGACCAAATTATCGCTAGCATTTCTTTTTCATTTGTTGCAAAGTTCTCCTCTGCTCTGCTTTGCGNATCTGAGGGACTGTAAAGACCAAATTATCGCTAGCATTTCTTTTTCATTTATTGCAAAGTTCTCCTCTGCTCTGCTTTGCGTTCTTGAAAGGAAGTATATTTGCCTACCTTCTTGGGAGAGTACGGCTCCTAAAGCGTAATCGGAGGCGTCAGTGGTAAGCTCGAATGCTTTCTCAAAATCAGGGTAATGGAGTATAACATCTTCAGATGTGAGGCACATTTTTAGTTGATTGACAGCTTCCCCCTGTTGGGCTGTCACATTTAGTTTGGTCTTTTTAGACTGGTTTTTGAAGATTCTTCCTAGTTCCCCTCTCATATTTCAGTGAGCGGTTTAGTAATTTGAGCATAGGCTTTTATGAACCTACGATAATGTCAGGTCATTCCCAAAAAGGAGCGTAAATCGTGAACGTTCTTAGGAAGCGGGAAATTTGTTATTGCTTCTACTTTTTTTGGCGTGGTGAGAATACCATTTTGATCGACAATGATACCTAGAAACTCTATTTCTTCTTTAATGAATTCGCATTTGTCGTATTGGACTTTTAATCGAGCCTTTTCCAACGTATTGAAAATAATCTTCAGATTATCGAAATGCTCTTCTTTAGTTTTACTAAAAATTATAATATCTTCTATGTTGACGTAGCAGCGAATGCCAATATGTTCACTAAGGACGTCATCTAAAGTGCGTTGAAAAATAGCAGGTGCGTTCCTTAGGCCAAATGGAAGTCGTGTGAACTCAAATTTTCCATTTGTAACCGAGAAGGCGGTCTTCTCAATGTCAGCCTCATTTAGAGCAATCTGGTGGA